CTAACAGAAAGTCTTGCAAACACTTTTCATGCGTCGTCTAACATAGCTGTTGCAGTCTTAACGTCAACCAAATTGTCTTAACATCAATCATCAGTTATGTACGTATAGTACGAAATCGTTACGCAGTACACAGCTCGTGCAATGTTTGTTGCATTGAAAGATTAAACATGGAAACATTTTTCGACTGTGAACAATTGCCCACTTTGTCATTGCAAGCATTATAATTGCAATTGTGTTGGCCGATTTGGTGCATAGTATTATGAGATATCTGAGTGGCAAATTCGGAAGCATTGATGGAACAATCAGTAAAAAGCGTGGAATGTCACATGTAATCTTGCCTTAAGAGTTCTTTTTTCTTGCTTTTCAGTTTGTGTCACCAATACTTCATTAAAACTTGTCGGAGAAATAGTGCATATTGTGTTTTTGTTACCTTTTCCTTTCTAGAAAATGTGAAGCTTGCGTATAATAGATTGCGCAATTTGAGGGACACATTCTCCAGGAAACTACGAGAGCAGAAGAAAAAAAGCGGAGCTGGGGTCGTGGAGGCAACGCCAAAATGGAAATTCTTCGACCTCCTCCTCTTCTTGAAGGACGTCACCGAGCCACGTCCGTAAGTCAAAGCTTTGTTTGTGGTTTGTAGCAAACGTTGAAGCGTTGAAAGTAGCTTACACTTTAAGACGTTTTACTTGGAGTGGAAACACCTGACACCCAAACTGCTCCCTTTGTTGTGGCTACAGTGTCACTGACACATACTAAAGAAACAATGGACACAGCATTGAACTGATTATCACTTGAAGTGTATCAGAGAGGCTCATGTATAAAGAATTAGGTGCACTTCTTGGAAGTATTTTCATATAACCATTTCAACTAATTTGCAACTAAATTTTCACTAACTAGCAACAAGTACCCCTCATATACCATTCATCTGCTATTTGTTTGTCATTCATTTGGAAATCGGTAGAATTTCACTTGTGGAATCGATTTCTTCATGTTTAGATTGTTACCACAGTTTGCAGCATAATAGCAATTAGGAAGGTGGTGCTTTTGGGCCTGCACACTAGAAGCGATAATGCATAGTAGCTAGTGCATGCATTCAAAGAAATGTATTTGTTACTTCTGTATTCTTCATGGCACTAATTATGTAGCTGCTTGTTTTCCTCATAGCACAAGCAGTAACCTGGACGAAGAGAGTGCAGATGCTACCGACGATGCAGCAGTGGAGTTTGTACCAATGTTGCCCCCTCGGTGTGCCAGTGCTCAGAGCGAAAGTAATTATTGCTCTGACACACCAGACCGCACCATACCCGCTTCTCTCACTTTAGATAACAGTAACTTTTTCTTTCGACCTATTTCAGCTCCCCTTCTTCCCACCCTTTCCACACAACCGTCCACCTCAACACCTGTCCTATCTACCCCTTTAACGCCCATCCCACTATGTCAAACGCGACGCACAACACAAAGAAAACAAATAAAAGAAAACAAGCAGCCAGCTTGCTGGATAAAGTTGATGAGGAATTGAAAAACGAGAAAGAAAACAGAACAGAGCAATTTTTACTTTCGCTGGCAGAGCACATGGACAAGGTGCCTGAACACCTGAGGGGGCAATGCAAAATGCACCTACTTGAAGTGCTAATGCACTATGAAGTAGGACAAGTGCCAACTGTATTGTCGACGATCCAAGGGCCGGCTGAAGCAAGCCAACAGTAATTAGTGCTGCCAGAAGTATTGTAAATAAAACTTTTTCATTTTTTTCCCGATTGCGTAAAGTTTGTTTTGCCTTCATGAAAAGTTTGGGGCCTAAGCAGCACTTGGGCCCTAGTACTTTGTGAAAAGGGGGTGATGCAAAATAGGTCATCAGAGGCAGAGTAAACGATTGACGCTGAAGTACAGTTTTCTCTCATATGAAGAACAATATACAAATTTTTCAATCAAGGCAGAACCATTATGCAAGTGAATTGCTATAGGCCATGTAGCACCCAGAACATGTAGTTATTGCATAGGCAATACAACTATTGTTTTTTTAACATTTATTATTTAAGTTTTACAGAAAGTTTATTATCTTTTATTTTTCAGAAAGTGGAGCAAGAGCTAAAGGCCACGTGGCCTCACAGAGGCTTGGTGTTCAAAAAAATACTATTGCAAGCTTTCAAAAGAATCATATATTCTGCCTCTGATGACAAGCAAGACCTATTCTGCTGGATATGCTGCCAATTGCAGTGCATTGTTGTTACACCAAAAGTGCCTCTCTCGTATGGACGACAATAAGGTGCACATTGTGCAATTTTCTGAATGCTTGGGGTTCTATAGAATATTCGGCCATTTCATTATTGGGGGAAATCTCGGAGCACCTCACATCGTAATGCGACTAGCGCTGCAATCGTGCACCGGCAGCAGCTCATGCGTGTGCAGACGCTTAAAAGAGTGTAGAGTTGAACCACGTCGTCTGCTACGACACAACACAAACCGCATTATTAGCCAGCGCACGAATATCGTTGTTAATGCAGAGACTGGGCCGATACTCTGGAATAATCATTAAAAAATTGCACCGGAAGATCGGATACAAAGAAACAAGGAACGACAAACTATAAATGCGATAGTGATGTAGAGATGCAATAGTCAAGTGGTAGTGTAGCATATAGCACCTGGTTTAGGGTCTTCTGGCTTGACAAACGTTCAGAATTATTTTAGGTTTGCAAGTTCTTTTAACTTTGCTTTGTGACTATTGTAATTGAGACAGCTTTTGGGAGCAATATACTGTGCTAGCAGGACACTGCAGTTAATATGACACAAGAAGTGCTTGATTGAATTTAATTATACAATAACAGCATCATCCACAGTACCTGGGTTAATATAACCAGTCACTATCAAAAGTCTAAACACTCTAAACAGAAATGTTGCTGAACACGTATGGTGAAACTCAAAACACAGAAAGACCTCCCCGTTTGTTCATTGTTAATACCACATAACTGTTTTCTTAACTGCATGTAAGCAAGGCAAATTTACTAGCTGTTTTTTTTCTGAGAATCCAGTCAGTTTATTCAGTACAATACAGTGCAAGTAAAAAGTTGATATAATACAGAAGGAGGTCCCAAAGTAAAAACTGTCAGGGGGACCTCCTGTAAATTCATGTATAATAATGTAAAACAAAGATTGGCAACTAAGGAAGAAACGGCAAGCGAATAAACAAAATGAACGTAATGAAAATTGTTATTGAAACTTATGGTAGTTCAAGATATTTACATGCAAGTGATAAAACACGAGATAACTAATTGGATTAAATGACTATAACATAACACATACATATCACTAACTAATACAGTGTTACTTCAGAACCTATACACGTACACATAAATGCTTATAACCGTATTTAAACACATATATATGTACACATACATATATATTCAGGTGTCGCATGTTGTTAGTAAGAACTGTTTTAGATGCCGCCGAAAACAATGTAATGAGGGGCTTGATGATTACAACTAAGTAATTGATGACAGTACAAAACAATATTAAACACCTAGCAGAGCTTTGGTATGCTGTAGTGGGGAATTCTTTTCAGTGCCTACCGGTTGGTCGTCCTATTCTGAGCAAATGCCCCTGATACAGGGAGTCCGCTTTGACTTGCCATTGTGCGGCCTGCTCGTAGTGCTGTCCAATCAACACCTACACAAATTGGGGCAGAGTGCTGTGGCCTCAAAACAACTTCTACTCTCCTTCTACAACCTGATCACAATCACACATTGAAGGCCTGTTTGTGCTTTTTGTGACTGTGCGTTTCTCGGGCAAGGTGCACCATTTGTCAGCAACTGATCCACATAGTACATGGTTACCCCTTGAAGACGCAGAAGAAAGCACCTGATGACATGCACTGTCCCCATTCCAGTGCGCTCGGTGCAGTTTCTTAGTATAGTTTCTCACTCACTCATGCATTTGGTTCCTATATTGCTGACAACCTATTGCCGGCCACTGTTCTGAGCTTCTGTGCCTGTTAGAAAAACTTTGTTTACCTTTGCGAACTGTGCTTCTAAATGTGACGCTTTATTATAAATTTACTAACACCTTTCGTGAAGCTTCTTGGAAGTGATCAGCACCTCTATTTACATTAGTCGAAGTGCGACGACAAATTGCGAAGACCCATTAGTTGTTGACGCCTGCTACTAAGCTCCTACCCACCGCACAAAATCAACAAAATCTTTCTATACATGCCAGATCCTACCGAGTGTGCGTCTATTTTTGGCACAGCCAGACATGCTGTAGAGTTTCGTGATGATTGGTGTTGGCTAAACAGAAGCAGGGTGTCAAAAGATAACAAAAAATAATGGCCAAACAGGAAATGAGAAGGTGGCCAGCTCGCCGAAGGGCATCAAGTATGGTTGACAGACGAGGGAGGTGGCTATCAAAGGTGGGTGAGAAAACGATGACATCATCCAGATAGCAAGGGCAGGTTGACCATTTAAACAGTCAAAGACACACGGTTGCACTAACTTTGAAGACAAAGTCTCAGTGAAACCAAGTGTTTGCACCTCTCGGAGACTACGGGAGAGTCATTGTGCTCCTCAGCCTTCAATCAAGGTCTTCTCGCAGCTGCCATTGCCTTTTATTTTCCCACGTTATTTTCTAGTTGTTGGTACGCAATGCCGTTGGCACTCCACCATGACTTCCCAGCCATTTGTTGGACGAACTGTAGCCACCTTCATCTTTAGTTGACTAATAATGAGTAGTGGGATTGACACAATTTGTGTGGCACATACCCATTTATGGTGGTGATAGTTTTCAGCTGGGTCACAAAGTGGCACGCATTCTTTAACACCTTTACTAAAAAGAGATGCATTTTCGATGGAGGCAGAAATGCTGTAGGCTGGTGTGCTCTGATATGGGTGCACGATAAAGAACCCCAGGTGGTCGAAATTTCAAGAGCCCTTCACTACAGCGTCTCTCATGATAATATGGTGGTTTTGGGACGTTACATTCCTCATATCAAATTATTAAAAAAATTCTTTTCACTGGGAAACAGGTAGTGCTGCATTGGGCCCTGTGTTGACAGGAAACAAGATCTTATCCTGCCAAGGCACTTTGCCTACTTTACTGAAGAAATGAGTAGCATACAGGTTCCTGACCTGCCGAGCTGCTTTGGCAAAGTGGCGTGCCTGTGTACGAGCCACTTGCATTGGCGGCTGTGCAAGAAGCTCACGCCAATGGCCAGACCGCCGCTGCCCTAAGCCATGCACAGAATCAGCAAAGCCAGGGCCACAATATGCATCTTCATCTACAGTGCCTCTGGGCATTAGAAAGTTGTGGAAAGCACAGAGGGCCTTCACCATCTTTTCAGCTTGTTTTGGCTCTTTGCCCATGGTGTGCGCCAAGATTCTTCATCTGGTCACCAGAATCCTGAAATCGTTCTCGGCACACCTCCTATTTCACGGAGAAAAAAAAAGAAAGAAAAAAGCATAATGACAAGTTACCATTTCCGTCCCCATCCCATCACTCTCAGGTAAACATATACTTTCAGCTCTATTTCTGAACAATCACCAACAACAGTAGCAGAAATTTTGGTGCCACTTCGTGGTGCCGAAATTGCCACAGGGAAAAGCCGCAACTTTCCGTCGCTAGACTCCCAATAAAAAACGGGTTAATCACATCGGCCTTCTGTGATGAGGTGTAGGTAGGGAGAATCACTGATGTGAGCCTATGTGACATGCTGCCCGTCCGAGAATTCTGTCTCCCGTGTGAATGCGAAATTAAAGGAGCACTGCCACGAAACAGTCAAACCGAAAATTTTGGGGCATGCAAAAAATATGTAAAACAGCAACAACAAATTTAAACAATGCACATTTAAGGAACATGGTAATGCACATACTGTGGATGTGAGGGCAGAATGGAACATGTCACAACGTAAACTAGATGCCATAAGCTTACGTCGGCTACCATGTTCGTCCTGTATGGTGATATCACATCAAAAAAAGCTTGTCCACAGCACCACAGCAGTAACTAGATCAGTCCAGAGCATTGTCAAAACTACTGGACAAAAGTGGTAACTTGACTTCTGTCAGTGTTGCTACAGTCACCGACCAATTTTTCATGCTTGGTGATGACTGCAATATTGTCGAAAAAATCCAACACACTGAAAAAATGTACAGGCAATAAAATTCAGTTCATTGGGATTATAGTGAAGGTGGAGAATATGTAATGCGCAGGATGGCTCAGAAACGGTTGCCACACGACTTAAATGACCACGTGCAGAATGACATCTACACAAATTTCCCATGCTGTTTATACGTGTTAAAAAAATCCACAACAGTTTGCCTGCATTGTGTATCTCAGACATTCATTCCATTGGTAGATATTGATACGTCAAAGTGCCGCACAACAGTAGTTCATATTGGAAGTGGAAGAGTGGCAACTAGTACGGCCAGCAACGTTTCCTGCTACTTCAGTAGCACTATGCAAAGTCTTGGAAGCACAACAAAGCAAGGGGGGTAGAGTCTATCGAGGGAGTCGGTTGAAGTACAATCTCTACATCACATGAGCGATGGAAGACGACACCGGCAAGTTTACAAATACACTTTGAACTCACACCAAAATTTGAAATGCTTTGCCACTTGTTGATTCCCCCTTGCTGTTGTCCCATATTCGAAACAATGCAACACTTGCAACATTACTCGATAACTAAAATCTGAGTACTTGTTTGGCAGAGTGTTTAAAAGACTGAAGATTAAATGAGGCGTAATATGTTCGTAAACATACTGCAAGTCCATGGCTTTTTTTGGCATGTGGTATCGAAAAACGAACTATATTATACCCGGCAATGAAATACTCATGCTCAGCTGATACTGCACATTTTTAGTTGGCATAAATTCATTATTATCTTCAAAAGCAAGTGTTTAACAGATTCGCCAAAATGAGTACCAAGTTAACACACTCAGACTAAAGAAGAAAAATGAACACTTCCTCTTAAATCCAGGTTTGTCTAATTTACCTCGCTCTGCTCAATCGGTAATTGAAGATGCGCTTCTCACCCTTTAGCCCTCGTCCAGGGTATGGCCATAGGAACTCGGTGCGGAGTTGGAAGGCTTCGTCTCCCACAAACACGCAAGGCGCTGGGTGGGACGTGTTCGGAAGTTCCAGGTCTCGCGGGATATGAAGCTTTCCATTCTCCAAGCGACACCCGAACTTTGATTGTTTTAGGACTCCACCATCACTCTGTTTGCCGTAAGCACCAACGTCGACGATCACGAACTTGTAGTCGCTGTCGACCACGGCAAGCAGAACAATGGAGTATGTGCCCTGCAATGAGTATGCATACAATGGGATTGTGTAATGTATACTAGATGCTTTAGAATGCTGATGTGCTGAGAGGCCAAATTAATGGGGTTGCAACATAAGAGTTCACATCTAGTGTTTCTTATTAAACACAAGGTTAACTTTTAACAATGCATGCATGGAAACTGTAATGTAATTTATAACTGTACATTAACCAATATTTCATCCTTGCTTCAAGAAGAGAAAGGGACACAGGTAGATCTATGTGAATAGCAAAATTTTTGGTGTGAAGCCAATTCTACTATTTGTTGATTATTTGTAACAGTTCAAAGTAAAACTTGACAAAAAAAAGTTGGAGAGAACTCCTAAGAATATTCTCATTGAAGTTACCTATAGTGCCCTGTTATAATACATGTGACCAAAAGAAAGTTCATGAGAGCGTTAGGGAATACTATCATACTTGCTGCAAGTAGGATGTACTGTATGACAAACCAACGTGCATGTGTGCTTTGTAAAGATCATGGCATCATATTCCACACATCGGAACATCTGATGCCACCATTCAGACAGCACACTGAAACGTACTATGTGTTCAGTGTTTACAATGGCACATAAAATTCATGCGCAATAGACAGCAATTTTAACAGAAAGAAATTGTCTACAGAATGCATCAGAACATTATACATACTAACCTTATAATTGAAGTACATACTTCCAGAGTTCGGAGGACACTTAATGTGTATGTGCTTTCCATCAACAGCCCCAATACAGTTCAAAAACTGCCATGTCCGGCTGAATCCTTCAACGATATGCAGCCATGTCTCCGTCTTTGGCTCCTAAAGTGAAACAAGCAGTGATTTTATCAGTAATGATAACATTGTTGGATCAGTGCCATGGAAGTGGAGATATTTAGGCCAGTGAAAGTTTCATTTTATCGCCGAGAGAAAGCCTCTAACACCAAAAACTGTCCACAGTTTAAAACCTTAGCTTCATGTACCATGGCCGACTGTAGTTTTTGCCTGAGCCGCTGTGCACTGTTGACCCCTTCAGGCCACTGGCAAACTAATAACCTTCCATATGCATCTATTTCAATGAAAGGTCCTTCCTCTCCTCTCAAAGATAGCTCACGAATTCTCACGATGGCTTGAAGCATGCAAAAGTGTGAATTTTAAAGTAAGGTACAAAGCTGGACATGTTGAAGTGGACTTAACTTTCACTTCTGGCTACATTTGGCAAGCCACAGGGTGCCATAGATAGCCAGAACACACTATTCTTTTTCAGTATGCATGCTCACTACACAGCATGCTTCTTGCATGTCTGCAACATCATCTTTGTATTTATTTATTGGATTTCAAGAAAGGCACTTGAAGGTTTTGACCTCTCTTTTCATTAACAAGTGACATTACCAAATCAAGTGCTAACTGCACTCGTACTTAGCACAACATTTTTAGGTTCTTCAAGAGAATGGCCTTTCATTTGATGCAAGAAAATAAGAAATGAAAATTGTCATATTAGTATCACTTTATCAAGTCAGCAAGATCAGTGAGAAGAATAAAATAGCCTGACAAGTAGGGTGAAGAAAGAATTAAGTACTGCAATTGAATATGCCCATGAAAGGTAGGGCACGAATAATGCTCCAGAAACAGGAACTAAAAGTGAGGAGACGAAACACAGCCAACTAGGTTACGGTGAATACATGTAAAGCAGGCATGACATAAAATATCACATCTCAACTTCAAGCATAACTTGCACATGCGATTACTGAAGTGACCACGTTGTGTCACAACTAGTTGATTCTGTAAAGGTGGTGCTTCTGATGCATGTGTTAGTGCCACATTGAGGCACTGTTTCATTTAGTTGACCGTCAGCAATTGGTGATTTAATTTTGTTAAAATGTACAAGTGCATTTCACAGTTCAATACAAATGCGCGGCAATTAGTTATCAAGATCTGTTAATGATTCCGACTCTATGACTTACTGTACCTTCCACACACCACACTGTGATATGGAAATCATTATACTGATGGCATGTGTGTGATCGCCTTTCGAAGGAAACTATGGTTAGAAGTTTTGAATATTCAGCCACACCTTTACATGTTCATCTACTTACAGGCATGTACAGCGGTTTCAGTCTGGACCAAAGTGCCGCACATGTCTCTTGCACGGCCTCACGGATATGCCCAAACGAAATGATAGGGCAATGTCTTGCATAAGGGCTCCTGAGCACAGATACCTGCATTTAAATTTAGTTTGTTTCTGGTCAGCCATTGCAGAGCCATATAAAGCTTTTATATTGCCATAAAAAATTCAATTGCAACTCGAACCAAGTATAGGTACTCTGTATAGTTATTACATGTGGTCCTTAGGTGTATTAAGGCACAAATGTTGCATGAGAACAGAAAGCTTTAGTTCCAAGGGTCTCTGGCCACTGGATATTTGTTTCAGCATCGCATCGCACAGGTCCTTTCTTCTATCTGTTCAACAGCCACATAAAAGTAAAAATCTGTTCAACGGCCACATAAAAGAAAAAAAAGAAACAAAACAAGTAACGAATTGAGCTTGTGTATGCAAGTACTTTAGGGGCCATGGCACTAAAGATCTGTAATAACAGGTTGTCGTACAACACTCAAAACTTGCCATTGATGAAGTACTCCTTAAACAACTAATTTGCCCTCCGCATTCTGTTCTGCAGCACTGTTTTTATGTACGCACATCCAATTAGCCCGATGACCATGTGAGGTACTGACAAATTTGGTAAAAGAGATTAAATACAATTGACATTTTTGAAACTATTGGCAAGCAATTTCTCTTGTCATATCGTCATCCCTAAAAAGTAGCATAAATTATGCAAAATGAAGTTGAAGTGCATAGCTGTGTAGGCAAAGCAATTTTGTACGTAATCATAATATATATCAACACAACGCACTGCTTTCAATAGAGGTGTGAAAATTCTGCACCTCATAGATTACGCTTACAAAACTGCTGTGCCTTTGTTTCAAAACATTATCTGTTGTCCTGCCATGACTTCGTTACTGCCAACTGGTTTGGGGAACTCCTAGCCACATCAGCTGGCTAGCTTTTGTCAGAAAGTTCGAGTGTTTACAGCTTACATATTGTCAAACACAATGGCCACATGCAGCTGAAATCAAGGTGATGCTGCACAATCAATTCAGAAATGAACTGCAGGACACATTGTAAGATTTCTGCATATCTTGCAAGACAACAGTCCTCAATACATAGTATGCACGTGCGTCACGCAGCGCTCCTTCGTCACTTCCGAAATGCGCCACCGACATGCCCGGGTACCTACAGACTCCGTCGCCTACCGCTGCCGTGTTGTCTCCTCGTGCTTGCGCCCGTTTAGTACCCTATGCATGACACATTGTCCATTGCTGTGCATGGGTGTCGCAATATACGCCAGTTCAATTGGCCATGGATAACATAGACAGGTGCTGACAAAGCAAACTGAATCGCCATACTTGATATAACATTATGAGCAAGTTTACATGAGAAACAATCACAGCATTTACTAAGTAGGTGAAGTAATGCACTACATATGTGTATTAAGCATGTAATCCTATAGTACATTTGGCATTAAAAATATTCATCATGCATTAAACAAACATTTAAAATACGAGTGCACTGCCACAAGGTTCCAGACAAATTGTATTACCTCAGGGTCATATCAAGTCGCTCTGCTGAAGATATGGGCTCTCTGATGAAGGTCTCTCTCTCCAAGTCTTCGTTGACCAAATTGAGGATATAGTCACCAAATTGTGATGGGGACATGAAATAGTACTTTTTGAAGTATGCTAGGTCCCCAGCACGCATTTTTTCATCTGAAATAGAAACAATAATTTCGCTTTTTTTTTCTTTCCCAGCAAAGGTCACAAAAGATAACTATGCAGATTTGTGTTGACTCGCACCTAAGCGAGCTGCATATCCATAGCTCAACACTTCTAGAAATATGTGTCGCGTATATTGCATGTGTATTGCTCCATACAGGCCAAGGAAATTACTTCATGCATGTTCCAGAGTCAGTCTCAGATGACCAAATTAGAAATCATATCTCTGGCAGTCACAAGCACAATCGATTAACTTTAAGTAAATAAAAATAAGTAGTTGTGCACTGATTGCCCGAAATTGCCATAAAAAAATGTGGCCGGCAGAATACGACTTCCATGCAAGGTGAAATCGATTTGTGCCATTCTGAATAATGAAAGAAGTGGTTCACTTTTAGGAATAAAATTTATGGAATTAAGGTACGCATGAAATAATTATTTTTATCACAGCAAGCAGTGTATTGAGCACAGGACGGCTGTGCACTAATATGAAAAAAAGGGGGGGGGCAAATCAGCCCGATAACCAGGCAGTCACGATTATTGATTGGTCCTCGCGGAGTGAGGTGCTGCCGTGTGTCCTCTGTCGTCGCGAACAGTTTTTAATTGACAGCTCACCCGCGCTGTCGATGATCAACTTACTTTTGAAGAACGTTAAAATCACATAAAAAATGAGACTAGAACGTTTTCAAACAACGCTTTCTTAGAAAATATAGAATCGCAATGCAAATTTAATGCTCTGACGAGGAACCATCTTGAGTTAGTATTATGCTTCGTTTTAACGCGCAGCGAAATGTTTTAATGCATGCGCAACTAGCAATGTAATTTATTGGCGGCAATGCGATAACTGGTATACGTACCATGGTGAAGAATTCACTCTCGGCGTGCCGCGTTCGCCATGACGGGCGCACCCACCACCTCGGCTGGCGTTGATCCTCCAGCATCATTTGGGCCAAAAGGACTTTCTTCTTTAGCAGAAGCAGTCGCTTTCGGCGCTTAGTCAAAACCATGTCGGCGACCCGCGAACAACAATAACAGGCAGCCGAACTAGAGTGGAAGGTCTCCCTAATCAAACACGACACAACGCTGACTACTGCCACTGTTGCCAACATCTTGAAGCGACTCCTCCTTAACTGAGTGGTAGTTACACAGACGTGCGTATACAAACTCACTACGTTTCTCGCAATAGATTGCAGTAAATAAATTTTTTTAGTTTCTTTTTATATTTCGTTATGTTGAAGTCAAGAAAGAGAGGACTTTTACGTACTTTTTCTTTTGTAAACACATTGCTGGTCAGGCAACGCTGCGAAAGGCGAAGCCTCAACTATTCGACAAACCGGCAGTTTTTGCTCCATGTGTCTCAAAACATCGCATGCGGCACGGCGCACCATGCGACGCCGCACGTCGCATCGCAGAGAAAATCGCACGTCTGTCTCGTGCTTAATCGATATCGTGCTGCGTGGCTTTAAGTGGAAGACCTGTCTCTGCTACTTGGACGACATCATAATTTTTTCGTCCACGTTTCCTCAGCACCTGCAACGTTTGGATGACGTTCTGACGTGCCTTGCAGCTGCTGATCTCCAACTCAACACGAAAAAGTGCCGTTTCGACACAAAAGCTATCAAAGTTTAGGGCCACGTCGTGAGCAAAGACGGAATTTGGCCGGATCCGGACAAAATTGCTGCGGTGCTTCGCTTTCCGCGCCCCGAAAGGCCGAAGGAGTTGCGAAGTTTTCTTGGTCGCGCCTCCTATTTTCGCCGTTTTTTACGAAACTTCGCATCAATAGCGGCTCAACAGCACCAGCTTCTTGCTTTTGACGTTCCCTTTCTGTGGTCGGAAAATTGTCAAACGGCGTTTGACTTGTTAAAGTGTCCCCTCATTTCTGGACCTGTACTCCGCCACTTTGATGAGTCCGCACCGACAATCCTACATATGGACGCTAGCGGCCGCGGTATAGGTGCCGTTCTGCTCCAACGCGACACCTCTTCACAAGAGAAAGTAGTTGCGTATGCCAATAGAGTATTAACCGTGACCGATAAGAACTATACCATAACTGAGCAGGAGTGCTTGGCTGTGGACTGGGCAGTGCAAAAGTTCCGTCCCTACCTCCACGGTCGTCATTTCACGATTTTTACCGACCACCACAACCCATGCTGGCTTTCCACGTTGAAGAACTTGTCTGGACGATTGGGTTGGTGGATTCTACGTTTAAAGGAGTATGACTTTGATACAAGTCAGGTAGAAAACACCAAGACGCTGACGCCCTTTCCCATTGCCCGCTACCAAATACCCAGCTCAGTATCGTTCAAAGTTCGGCCATCACTTCTACTGCAGCGCCTGCGCTCGCCTCAATAGACCAGCTATTCTCGGATGACAAGCACACATTTCACTCCTACCAGTTGTCTGATCCGTACTGTAGGCGTATGAATGACCAGCTATCAGGAGCTTCCCATCCACCTAACGCGCGCAATTGTCGTCAACTCTTGCGATTTAAGCTGGAGAATGGAGTTTTGTACCGTCGCATCTACTACCCAGATGGTCAACGCTGGGTTCCTGTACTACTACGTTCTCTTCGACTTGACGTGCTTAAAGCCTTCCACGACGACTTGATTGCCGGATATCTTGGCATTCAAAAACTTACGACCGCATCCGAAGTCGCTTCTACTGGCCTGGTATTTCTACTAGCATTGCGCGCTACGTTGGTTCCTGTGTCCCGCGCCAGCTTCGTGAAATCCAGACAACTGCACCGGCCGGGCCTCTGCAGCAAATTCCGTGCCCCACAACGCCATTAAAGGTTGTAAGTATCGACCTTTACGGCCCTCTTCCCGTCACATCTACTGGTAAACGATGGATAGTGACTGCAGTAGACCACTTGACACGCTACGTGAAGACAACGTCTGTATCCACTGCCTCTGCATCGGAAGTTGCGGGCTTCGTTCTGCACGCTATCAATCTGCGCCATGGCACCCTTCGTATATTGTTGAGTGACTGTGGAAGGGTGTTCTTGTCAGAAGAGCTAAATGAAGTATTGCCCGCCTCTGGAATAACACACAAGACAGCTTCCAGCTACAACCCTACAACCAACGGTCGCACCGAGAGGTTTCACCGTACTCTTGCTTATATGATAGCCGTCTACATCAGTCCAGACCACAAAAACTGGGATACTCTTCTTGCATTCCTCACCTTTGCCTACAACACGGCCGTTCAGCGCACCACCGAATATTCGCCGTTCTACCTCGTTTATGGTCGTTCCCCTACTTTCTTCCTTGACGTCTCCTTTTTCAACACTAACGTCAACTCGTCTACGTCTACCAGCGAGGAACACAATTTAAGACTGGCGCGGTGTCGCGATCGTGCTCGCATCAACAGGGAAGCGTGGCAGCGAGATCGAAAAGTCATTTATGACGCATCCCAACGCCTTGTATTCTCCCGACCTGGTGGCGAGGTGCTCCTATTCACACCTATTCGTACACCTGGTCTGTGTGACAAGTTTCAGTCACACTTCATTGGGCTTTACATAGTTATCGAGCAGACTTCGCCCGTTAATTATCATGCGACCCCACTTGTCGTCCCAACAGACCGCCGTCACCGCAACACAGAGATCGTGCACGTGTCTCGCATAAAGCCTTTCAGGTGACGTTCTCTGTCACTTTGTGGCAGAGAACGTCGCCTGAAATGTGGGGGGGGGGGGGGGAATTAGTGTTGGCATTCGTCATGCGCTTCTTTTCATATATGCATTATCATAATCATCATCATCCGCCTGGGTCTCTGTCCTCATCTTCACTGGGCGTCTCTACAATCATCATCGTGTGTGTGCACGCTTAGTCTGAGACTGCCCGTTCGTTGCTGAGCCCTTGGGCAGAATAAACGCTGTCTCAAGCCAGAAGTCATAATATATATATATATATATATATATATATATATATATATATATATATATGTATAAGGGTAACAAGTGCACACTTAAGCGCTCGTTTTTTCTTGTCAGTCAGCGCTGACTGACACTCCCACGTTCAAATTCACATAGATACCCAATAAAGTGGCTGGGGGAATAGCTGTCATGTTAGCTCAGTGGTACAACATCGAACGCGTTATGCGAAGGTCGCAGTTTGGATCCTGCCCATGGCAAGTTATCTTTTCACCCACATTTCTTTCTTCACCTTTACATTACAAATGGCCTAAGTACTTTCCCTATACTTTCCTTGGCAATATTGTCTGTCAGATTTCATTATATATATATATATATATATATATATATATATATATATTTAAAGCGGTTTACGATCGGGTCTTCTCGTGGTCACCTCCTTAACTTGACGGGAACCAAAATCAGCACGGGAAGACAAAATGGTTTGACGAATATGACGGGAAGCCAAAATGGTTTGGCTAATACGCATGCTTTAGTTCACATCGTTACGCAAGTGCAAACAACCCGTGCAAACAACTGATTATGTAAATATCTGCAGCTCTTCAACATATGTCTATGCACGCAACATTTGTACATATATTCAGCATAATTTCAAGACGTGTCGCTGAATAAAAATTGCATCATGTTATCCTTCCCTTCGCCTGCTTCGCAAAACGTCATTAGATAGGTGCGTGAGATCTAATTTTCGAACAAGGCTTCTCTATGTGCAAGACAGGCACAAGTTCGAAAAAAGGTGGAAGTCAGGAGAAGTTAAAAAACTTTATGAACACACCGTGTCGCTGGAGCCAATCTTTCCACAATTGAATATTTTTTTCAATTCTGCTTGTTGAAATATTGGTCTTACTTACACGCCGTGTTCATGAATTTTCACCTCTATTTTTTACACAGAAGTATCTGTTAGATATTAATTAAAAAAGTCCTTTTCTAATCTTACTATCTTTAAATTTGCTGCTTTGCACCTTTCGAACTTAAGGATCTGTCACTGAAGCTCTTTAGGAGGTGAATGAGTAACACTTTGTTCTCTTTGTTGCAGCAAACTTTGCGGGACTGTTTGGGTTCACTGC